ACAAGGTCAGCAGTTTGGAAGAGAGGGCTTCCAACTCTCGTGAAGAGTGGCAGTCTCAGAGAGAGGGTTGCCATGAATCGGAATCAACTCACTGACAATGAGTTCACAGTTGACTCTTAAGGTTTCTCTCTCCAACTGAGGGATAGACTATCATTCAAGAGAGGGGTGGGGGGAGTTAAAAAGAAGTCATAAAATAAAAACAATGTATTGCAGTGATGCGATTTTTAAATAGTCACATGAATTTATGCACCAAGAGAGTAGGGGCCTCATCCAAATAGCAGTGTTGCTTCCCTGAATGCTTGTCTTTGGTTTCCAGGTACGAGACGGAGCTGAACCTGCGCATGAGTGTGGAGGCCGACATCAACGGGCTGCGCCGGGTGCTGGACGAGCTGACGCTGGCCCGCGCCGACCTGGAGATGCAGGTGGAAGGGCTGCAGGAGGAGCTGGCCTACCTCCGCAAGAACCACGAGGAGGTGAGCCAGAGAAAGCAGCCTCTCTGGGCTGCGGGCTTTCTCCCCCGACTGGCGAACACAACTCCGAATTTACCAGTCTCAAGCGAGGACCCCTGTGGCGGGCATTGGATCAGTTACCCTGGCCGTTGGGGGCATCGCTAGGAGGGTGTGATCTGTGTTTGCATGGGGGGATGGTGGTGATTCCAGTTAGGGTTATCAGACCCGAGGCACCTTCTGATCTTGCCATGTTAATCATTAATGATGAGAAGAACTGTAAGAGGCCTGATTTGGTGATTGGAAGGGAGAAAAATCGGGTATTTTAAACATTAAAAACAGCGGTCTGTCAGCTTGTGTTATAAACATACACATCAGGACAATGATGAAACACAGCTAGCTGGCTGGCATATGGATCAGACATTCTATCATGACGCTAGCCACAGGCTCTAAAGAGGCTCCTGCGGGATTTTCCTCGCGTGAATGGTGTGCGAACCTGGATGCCGCCGGAAGCTCCTGGATGGGGAGCTACCGCTGGGATTCTCCAGTGTCCAGAGCAAGCACTGCGTCTCTTGGCCCTGCGATGCACCTCCGTGGCCACTAGGTACAGCAGGCACAGCCCCTCGGGCCTAGCCCATGACACTTTCAGGGGCCCACGAAAACGTCCTTTCAACATCGGAAGAAAAATACGAACCTGTGGGTAAAGGAAGCGTTTTAATACATGGTCTTGATATATTGTCATTTTTCCAATCCGGTGATAGAATATAATCATTTTGGGAAGGGGGACCCACGAAGGCCCTAAGACACCCTTCTCTCCCTGCTGTCCCCAGGAGCTGCAAAGCTTGCGGGAGGGCAGCCCGGGGCAAGTGAGCGTGGAAATGGACGCCACCCCTGGAGTGGACCTCACCACGCTCCTCAAGGACATGAGGGCGCAGTATGAGACCGTCGCCGAGCAGAGCCGGAAGGATGCGGAAGCCTGGTTCATCGAAAAGGTCCCCCACACCAAACCACTTCGATCCATTTGTGGTAGTATGTGGGGGCGCTCTCGGTGGAGGGCTCATGTGGCCTGGCCCCCTCTTTGCAGAGCGGGGAGCTGCGGAAGGAGATCAGCACCCACCAGGGGCAGCTGCAGTCCAGCAAGGGCGAGGTCACCGAGCTGAGGCGCTCTCTCCAAAACCTGGAGATGGAGCTCCAGGCTCAGCTCGCCATGGTACGGCTTCTCCATTACTTCCCAAGACACCGCTGTGGCCAGAGTCGGTGGTCCACTTGGTCACTTGACTGCCCGCTCCATTGGTAAATCGGT